TAAGTTGACTAGTCAGTTAAAATTCGACCTAATGGATTCTCTGATGGCATCGAGACTGAGCTGCCTGTTTCAAAACAGAAACAAAACAACATCTAAAGCAAGGACAACCGTCAAACAAATGAGTACTCTCCAACTAAATCCTCTAAAAGGAAGGACTGAGACATTAGCACGGATGACCTTCACAAGGTCTAATTGGAAGAATGCCCAGATCATAAAGGCAGAGGATTCCCTGTGTGAACAAAACAGCAAAGAGCAAGCTCAGTCCTTAAAAGATAAGGAAGCCAGCAGAGAACAACTGTAACCAAAGTTTCATTTCAGACAGGGAAGAGATCTCAAACAGAGCAAATATTCAAAACCCAGAAATCCATAAAGGAGAACACCAGAAGTGCACTCTGAGTCTCACACCAGAGAACTGGGTTTTTTCCTAGTCACAGAGCTGTGCCCATTTCTGTGTGAGGCATGTTGACTCCTACGTAACCTAAGATGGTTTGAAGTACCCAAGTGGCGGGGCAGGGATTCCTGGCTGTGCACATCAGGGACTTACCCAGTTTGGAATCTGTTGACTCTCCCAACTAGAGTCCATTGACTCCCCAGAGACCCATTTCTTTTCACTGGCAAAATGTTTAAAGGCAGTTGCTGCCTTGAGAGGGAGAGCAGGGAAAGTGTCCAAAATAAAGAGCTCTAGGCAGCTGCTGAGAAATTCCTGCAATCCCTGCCATGGGGTCAGCCTGCCACAAGCAGCTCGGACCCCAGCCCAAGCTGCCCAGGCCGTACAGGGGTCTACATTGTCCTATCTGGGGTGCCAAAATTATAACTGAACACAGGTCTGGCTGCCTGCCAACTTGAAAGCCAATACTCAAGAAGCAGGTGCTAATGTAAAGGAAAGTGGTTTTATCCAGTAGCTTTGAGATGAGAGTCTCCCATCTTCCAGGTTGCTAGCACCCAAATAAAATCACTTTCCTTTATATCAGCACCTGCCTTTTGAGTATAAGGCTTTCAAAGTGGCAGGCAGCTGAACCTGCATTAAGTTACAAAGCTGCTCCAATCAGTTTATCCACATCAATTTCTGGAGAAATAAGATGTTGGGGGCAGAAGAGACAGGATGATGGTGATAGTGAAGTGTGTCTGTGTGTGTCCCCCATATAAATGTGCATGCACAGGTCTTTCATGAAAACCAAGGTGGATAAGGTCCCACATGGGATCATAAGACCAATGTCAGGATAGGAACTTGAAAGAATGTGAAATACTCAGGCAAAATTGGAAAAACACAGTCACCAGGCAGAAACATCCAAGGTCAGGGAAGGTGGGACTCCACATGGACACTCCAGCTACTAGCACTACAAGTCCTGTACGTCACACTCTGTGTATGGAACTGGCCTCCCCTCAGGGCAGGCCCTGAATACCAGTAGTTGAATGGTGATTGTAGGACCTCATCTGAGGGCTTCTTATGCTCAGTTGGAGTCAATAATTGTTCAAATGGCTCATGTTTTATTATTGGTATCACTTCTCTCCCCTTTTCAATCTAAATTCCCTTCTCCAAAAGTATTTACTCTTTGAAATTTTGGGGCATTAAATCCTATAGGTAAAATTTTGCTGTTTCGAAGAGGCTTTATTTCCCTTGATATACCACTTACATATTGCCAGGATCTCAAAACACCCTTTATCAGACTGTTGGGAGAACTGCATGTTCAGCATTACCTAATTTCCTCATAAATCTCTTGCCTTTTAATCAGCTAAGTGGCTATCTGCTAAATGTCCCTGATTTATTGACATCTTATGAGGGCTGAGGATATGTCCAGATACTAAGTGATTAAATGTGGATGAAAATGGCACACCACCATAATAATGATAGAAAAGGGAGTTGTGACTAGGCATATATTATAAGAACTCACAGAGATGAATATAGACAGCTTCTTAAAAGGGCAGGCTCCAGAGGAAACTGCCCTATCTAGCTAGTTTTTACACAAAAATCTACCCAATTCCTCTCATTAAAGATGCATTTGCATTTGCTGGCTCAACAGTTTCATAAGAACCACAGCCCCTCCAAATTCACTGTCTCAGAGAAGCAGTGGCGAACTGTAAGCGGAAAGGACTCCTGGATTCTGTTTTCACATTAGCCACCAACTGCGTGACTTGCAAAGAAGGATGTTTTCACTTTTCTTCAAGACCCCCATTCTCCACATGCTAATCAAGGGCAATCCCTGACAAGGACAGTCATCATGACACTCTTCTATGTTTTTATTTTTTCTTAAGTGAGTTTTTTGATGTAAACAGAGCATGTTGACAGATTCCAGGGAACAGAAGACTATGGTGGATATGTTGGTTTTTAATTCAAACAAAGAAATTATGCCAGTTGCTTTGGTGGACAGCGACCTGGGAGAAGAGTAAGAAAAAGAAATACAAAGGCTCCCTGGTGACACCCCTTGGACCTGGTCTCAACTGCACACTCTGTACGGGAAAGCAGAGCTGTCAAAACAGAACCAATGACAGCAGTTAAAAACCAGCCCAGACAGCTCTGCCGTCATTCTGTCACCAGGGACGCTCGCTCCATGCTCTTGGCCACCACACCCAGCCACAGGTGCACACGTGTCCCTGGCCACCTGAACCACCCACTGGAATGCAAAGACAGATCACTTAATGGCACTAAAGATCTGGAAAAATAAGTCTCAGCTAGAAAGAATGTCTGATTTGGAGAGTGTGAGAGGCTGAAGCAGAGTGGGGGCTGTTTGGGGGTCAAGAGACAGACACCCTAATTGCAGGTCACTGTGGGCTGCATGGTGTCCCCTTGGTAATCAAACAGGGGTTGCTGAGAGGCCTGCTGCTCAGGCCTGAGGCCTGGCTGGACTGCAGACCAAATCCTGGCTATGAACTGGAAAAGCCCCTCCACTCCTCTTTCCTTCTGAATATTTTACACGGGATTTCCTTAATTTGTGCTTCCCTTTGGTTTGAGTCAAAAAGAAGAGGGAGAGGGAAAAAGAAACACACACTTTTTGTCACTTGTCCAAAACTGAGGAAAAAAGGTGATAGTGGGCATCAGATGCTTCCTGGGCCTGGTGTGGGTCACCTCGCTGAGGGTGCAAGGTGACTCAGCACTCCTGGAACTGTCACTGGCCTTTGGGGCCTCATTTCTGCAGGAGGAGATGCAGACAGGCTTTGTGGTGGCATTTTAGTTACGTCACACCCTTAAAATGGAATCTCATCATACTGGTCACTGTTGACGGTCATGTCATATCCATCTTTCTCTCCAGGTACACAACACATAGGCCAGTTCTATGGACATCACAGAAAAAAAACCCCAGCAAATTCTTAACTATTCCATCTCCAGAGTTTTAAAAGATCAGACAGTTACTAAAATAAACCATTTCTCAAATGCATTCTGGTGGCCTTGGGCTCAGTGGCCACCAGAAGAGGGAGGGCCCAGCTGAGGGTGGGACTCACCAAGGACAGGCAAGGACAGCTCGGCTGAGCCAGCCTCAGAGGAAGGCGGTGTTCCTCAAGGAGGAACATATCAGAAGAAGCTGGTCCTCTGCTGGTCTGGTGTGACTTTGACTTCCCAGTTGTTCTTTGGGGGCTGCTGCCTTCCAACTTTTTGTCCATGATGTCTCTGGGGAGAATGAAAAATGTGTTCTCCAAGTTGATGTTGGCCTTTGCATGGTCTCCATGAACTTGATTTCACAGTTCAGGGCCAGCTTCTCTCCCAGTTTCTTGGGTACTAGTCTCTTTGTTATTCAAGTCACACTCGTTCCCAAGAATCTTCTCAACATCTGCAGAGGCGTGCTGCTCGCTGTTTCAAATCCAGTTCAGGAGGTTGTCAAAGGTGATGTCGCAGACCAGTACGATGCCCACTGTGACCCTGTAGTAGGCACAACACCCTCTTTTAAAACCAAACACTCGGACTTAACAGGACGTTATGTTGGCTCCACAAAAAAGAGATTGTCACAGGTCTTTGTGATAATTGTTAAAGCGCCACCTGCTGGAAACATCTCATAATACATACCAATTGTCTGTGAGATGCTGGCATCAGAAAGATGAGAATTGTCAGTTCCTGTCCACATGAGACCCTAGTTTCAAAACACAGGTAGTGAAAATGGCACCAGCAAACCCTCTCTTCTTACAATGTTACCACAGTCCAACTGCACAATTCATTACCTCTATACAACACTAGGAAACTGTTGAGCAGGGGTTTTTTAATGGCATAAATTTCTACAAAAAAATATTTTAAAAATGAATATTATTCTAATGGGCAGAAAAGAAATATACAGGAGGGTCTCAACTTAAGAACATGTTGTGTTTCAAAAGCTTGCCTATAGGCCAGATGTTTAAAAGCACATTGTTCAGGCTGGTTAAGAAACTCGCAGTCTTTACAAACTTATTTAAACCAGGATGACTTACTGTACTGCTATTTGGTCGCTGGATGTGATTCACAGTATTGCTTCTCTGGAACACTGAATTCCGAAGTTCAACTTGGGACGCCCAGGTCGGAGCTGCGCTGCCCCTGCCGTGGGAGCAGGCCAGGGGAGACACTAGGATTAAGGGGATGAGTGGAAAGGGCAGGGCAGGGTGAGATAACTTACCACCTACACGTGCCAGCATAAAAGGCCTCATTTTAGGTTCTGAACTGGGACCAAAGTTCATTTAATAAACACCAAACAAACGAGACAACCATAGGACTAGAACCATGGTGAAAGGCTGTTGTGGGCCTCGAAGAGCTCAACCCGAGTGAGGAGCAGCAGTTCAATGGGAAGCACTTCAATAAAGAGCCACAGGGGAGATGGGAACAAGCGCCCCAGGTGCCTCCGAGGGGGACCTGGTCGTGCCGGCCCGAGAATGGCTGCATAGGAGGGACGGACGGCATTGGAGCTCAGCCTTGACTGACAGGTGGAAGGGTGTCACCTGGAATTCCCTACATCATCACTATCCCTATCTATACAGGTTTATTCTCAGGTATTAAAAAAAATAATCTGTGCATTAGTCAAACTGAAAGTCTTCCCCAAACATGGCAAACATGTTAACACAAATTTTTTCACTGATTGACAGTTTTTATTGGTAGGAAGTAGAAAACCAAACATCCGTTTTAACTCACTTCACAGAATGAGAGGTTATTTTCTTCAAAAAAGAAAAAAGAATTTAAAAATGTTTATTCTGGCAAATAATCTGTGATCTGAATCTGAAATTCCTTTTATCATAATGTAGCCCCAAAAAGATAGGCTAATTTCACCTTACCAAAGACATAGTTCTGAAAAGCTAGATATGAAGAAATGTTGAATATACTGTTGTGTAAAATCAACAAGGGTACCTGGTTAATCAAAGAAACCACACAGTGGATGTATTTCCATGAAATCAAAATCTTTTAATAAAATGAACACTTACCATCAATTTCTTTGTTATATTTTTATCAAAAAGAAGTTTGCATACAGAGTTTTTGTAGTGGTATACTGATCATTGATATAATAATGATGAACATCTTTATTGAAGAAGTAAAAATCTCATGGTGCATAAATATTTGGTAGGAAGTAGTGCCGTATCCTCCTCTAACGAGGCGGACTGGGCTCCTGGGTTCACCGCACTCCACTTCAGTGTTTCCACACACCCACCCTGGTCCTTCAGGATTCCTCAGTGCTGCCCCACCCACCTCCCTGCCAGACCCAACCAGTCACCAGACCTCAGCTGTGGCTTGTGGACAATGGCTTGCGTCCTCAGAGGGACAAAACCCAGAAGCTTCTAACTGAAGCTTCTGTAACTAAAGCTTTGGAAACCTACTCCAAAACCACCCTGGACTGCCCCCACTCCTGACCGCCCAGCCCAGCCCGGATGGCCTGCTTTCAGCCGTGTCCTGTGGCTGGCTCATGTGGGCACCCGCCCCACCCTGCTTGCCCACCTGTGCCTCAGAACTCCAGGGGGGGACCCACACCTTGTCTCCTGACACCGGCAACCACTGGTCCTCCAACACACGAAAACGCAATCCTAGCCTTGGCTTCTGCTTAATCTTGGCATTTCTACTTTTAATGCATTATTCTGTTTTCCCCTGTAAAATCTAACCACTGGATCCAATCCAATGCTATGAAGTATTTCAGTCATCATTTTCCAAGTGTCCCCTTTATCCTGTGGCAGCGCTCAGCTTCCCAGGAAGGCTCAGGTGTAGGCGCTCGCCTTCTCCTCCAGCTACACGACCGCAGAGTGGGTCTCCTGAGGGTTCTCCTCAAGCTTCAGTCCCAGGTTGTCGATTCCAATGCTGGTGACCGGGGGCACGCTGCTTTCGGCCGGCTCTGCCGTGCGCGTGGGGGTGGAGCAGAACAGGGTGAACCCCACCATGATGATGGTGAAGGACAGGATGTAGAGCCCAGAGAACTAGGAGGAGAGAAGAGCTGCGGGTTACACTCCCTCACATACACAGCTTTGCAGCTGCCGCTGGCCAAAACCCTCCGGCGCGTGTATACCGGCGAATGCCTGGTTTCTGACGTCACCACCTGGCACGTCAGCCGACTGGCTCCTTGCGTCTCTAGCAAATGGAACTTTTGCCTTTTTTCTGTGACAATCCAGCTCCACCCGACCTCACAACTAATTGCACTTAACTGAGAGAATAAAACGTCAGTATGGATACCAGGGGAGTTCCCAATTCGAACCCAAGACACAGCTTACAATATTGGTATGAAACACAGGAACCCAGAACCTCAAATAAAATGTGGCTGTACAGATGGGACACCTTGTCGTCAATCCCTCACATATGCTATGCCAATAAAATCCATTTGTTAAAATGTAATAAATTATCTTGTTTCCATAGGCAAGTATTACATAGTAAAATTTATGGTGGACTGAGCAGATCCGGATTATTAGAGCTGGAAAGGGCCTCAGACAGCACTTTTTCCAGGAGAGTCTGAAGCCCAGAGAGGCCGCCGGTGTAAGGTCCGGTTGGACAAGCACAAGGAATGGAGCCCGCAGGACCGGTAATAGGCTAGAGTCCGACCTGACAGACAGACACACCACGGGGATGGACGGGGTTCCCGCGGACCCGCCCCAACCTGCCCTTTTCTCAGGGTGAAAACAATCACTCAGAACAAAATGCAGTACGAAAAAATGCTAATTCATTGTGTACTTTTACTGAAAATAACATTTTGACATACTGCAAAGTGAAATAAATAATGATTACTCTGTACATTTGCTTTTATTTGAATTGAGGATCCAGATAAAAGCTCAAATGTTAAGGAAATTAATATTTGTGTTTAACAGCAGGAAAAGTAAAACACAGAGAACAGGGAAGGCCTGACCAACAATAACATAGTAAAAGTTAGGGAAACTATGTAGCATACTGATGTGTGATTAAATGCCCGGGATCATTTTTTTCCCCTTCAAACAAGCAAACGCAATTTATAAGTGGTCCTGCTAAACTGATTTTAAAATTAAGAATGGAGCATGCTACTGTATTCAAGCCAATAAATACTTTTAAAAATATTTTATTTATTTATTTTTTAGAGAGAGGGGAAGGGAAGGAGAGGGAGAGAAACATCAGTGTGTGGTTGCCCCTTCTGTGCCCCCTACTGGGGACCTGGCCTGCAACCCAGGCATGTGCCCTGACTGGGAACCGAACTGGCGACCCTTTGCCTAGCAGGCCCATGCTCAATCCATTGAGCCACACCAGCCAGGGCCATTAAATATTTTTAAATTAGCTTGGGTTTCATAGTATGACCAATAAAAAGGGTTGCAATCAGGGGATAACAAAGAAAAATAGTAACAAACCAGGATGGGCTGGGGAAAGAGAAGAGAAAGGTGAGAGAGAGAGGGGGAGAGAGAGAGAAAGAAAAAAACAAAATACACGCCCAAAGGTAGAAGGAAAAACTAAACAGGTTTTTGAGATGAGTATTAAGTAGACTGCTGGTGGTCTCCAGCTGTGGACTTGTGTGGGTCCCCCTGGCTTCGAAGTGTTAATATTTCACAGGTGCTCAATTACTTCTTCCCCTAAACCGGGGGTGTCAAATTCATTTTCACTCCCAGTTGCCTTCAAAGGGCCAAATGTGATTTTAGGACTGTATAAATGTAACTACTCCTTAACAGTTCAGCGAGAGCTCGGCACTGCCACCGGGTGGAAACATGGTGCTGGGCGGATAAAACAAGGTGGAGGTCGGATTTGGCCAGCGGGCCTTGGGTTTGCCACCTGTGACCTAAACCTCTAGAACTCCTTAAGGAATGGAATAGCCACAGCCCTCCCTAAGTCAGAAAACCACCCTGGGATTCAGTGGTGATGTGAAGCCAGTGTTTAGGTCAAGCTGAGATATGCAACTAATTTCCTACTGTTGGCTTGAATTCTTCGATCCAATACTCAGCACAGTGACCAATACATAGCTGGTGTTTAATAATGTTTACTGAGGGGAGAAATTGTAAATGCTAAAGGAAACCCTACACTTTTTAAGTTGGTATTATTATTAAAGTTAATTATGCTCTTATAAGTTGATCACTGTTACCTGTGGGAAAACTATACAACTTATTCAAAAAAATGTCTTGGTTTAATGGTTTTAAATATTTCGAGAAAAAAAGTATCTTATCCCTTTTAAGAAGGCAGGTGATTATATCAAGGCACCTGTATTATATCAAGGGAGGAAGTGAGGTAAGCCTCCAGAATTAGAGACTCTTAACTTTCTTCTTTTTTAAAAGAAATTCAGAGAATATTAAAGGATCTATACAGAAAGTTTCTGTGGCCACTCTGTTAAACAGGTGTTTACTCAAGGTCAATTCCAAAGGAGGCAGAGTCTAATACAAATGAGCGTAGAGAATTTGACATAGTCTCCAATTCTGAGAACGGTTTAAAGTCACGTGGCCAAAACAATGCCACACACAAGGGCTTTGCATGGCAAAGTTAGAGCAGTTAAAGAGCAAGTATTTACATCTGGGAGCTTATAAGAGTTTGGTAGTGACGGGTGTACTTTTACCTCTAAGCTTTCATTTCTTTACCCTTACTTCCTCCTTTGACATTAAGGGAAAGCCGAAGTTAAATTACTGAAGCTAAATCAGTATGTTTGGTTAAAAAAGACACAGGGAGCAGGGCCAGCAGTTACACTGTTGACTCTCAAGCTTCCTGCGGGTGTGGCCTTGAACCACAGAAGGAAACAACACCCCCTCCCTCGCTGCCGAGTGAAAGGCGAGCAGAGACCGCGGAACTACGTGCTTCCACAGGAAAAGCATCCCGGCCTGTCAGGATCCTCTGATTCACTGACATCTTCTTTTTACTTTCTAATGATGCTAGTAAAAACCTAAATATATTCGTTCAGTCTTTGTTCAGGAATACCTTAACCAGCAAGTGTGCAAAGATCACAGCTGGTTCCTGTCACAAGTAACCATGCAAATCAAAATGGTTTTTTACATTCCTTAAGTAGAAATTTCTGAGAACCCACTGAACAAGGCATCGTAAGTTCAAAGCCAATTCCTGGGAATAGTGCAAATCGGTGCCAAAGATTTCTGCCTGGATACAAAGTTTACCACTGCTATCACCTCCTGAAACCAAAAATATCAAACCACAGCCGACTGTGGAAAAAGACAGGTTGACAAGCTTTTACTGAGGGGGTACTAATGAAAGGTGGGACTTCTAAGGTGGCGGTTCTCAAACGCGGTCCAGAGACTATTGAAGGTACCCAAGAACTTTTCAGGAGGTCTGTAAGTTCAAAACTCATTAAGATAACACTGAGATGCTACTTGACTTTTTCATTTTCATTCACTTAGAAGTGCAGAATCGAATGTTCCAGATATTATATGAAATGTGGTATCACAAGGCAGAATGAAGAACCAGATGTGAGAATCCAGCTGTTTTCCATTAAGCCATACACGAAAGAGATTTTTTAAAATGTAAATCAATGCCATTTTCACTAAATTCTGTTAATTTGAAAAATACAGTATTTCTCAAAAATATCCTAACATGAGTTTATTATTTTCTTAATGAGTTAATATTTTTAAACATCTGCTTTAAATTCTAATATAAGTCACAGAAATAAGTGACCTGCAATCCTCAATTTTTAAGCATTTTTTAAAAAGATCCTGAGATTAAACAGTATGAGAACTGTTGTCCTAAGAATTTTCAAATTAACTGTACAAAAAGTACAAAAAAATCTACTTATTCGGTTCTCTCTAACGCATGAAATTCTAACTTGATAAATTCATAAGCTTGAGATTCTCATCTTAATAATGAAAATAGAGGGGAAGGTGCAGTGGAAAGAAGACTAGACTATAAGACTGATAATGAAGATTTAGTGTTGACCCTGCCACGAACCCACTGCTCACTAAGGGTAAGAAGTCACTTAATTGCATGAACCTCCCTGGACCTTCCTTCGCCCATCTCTAAACTAAGATCATTCATTCCGCAGTTTTCCAAGGAAGGTATGTCAGACTCTCGGAGACACCGTTTGCTGTCTTGCTTCCCTGGGGTCCACGATCCATTCCCTCCCACTCCACTCTCCTCGAGAATTACTACATCTACCAAGAGCTGTTACTGATGGGAGCAGGTTACACTTAGGAATGCTGTGAGGCTGCGGAGACAGAAAAAGTTTGAAAAATCACTGGACTGAATTACCTTTAAGGTCCCTTCCAATATAAAACTACTATGGAAGATGGAACCGTTCCAGCCCACTGCGTGCATGATCATACAATTACCTCCTTCCTTTCCCCTGGGCACCACAAACCTTTTATGTGTGTACTAGGGCTTTGCAATATATAAATGTATCAAATCAACACGTTGTACACCTTAAATTTACACATGGCCAATTACATCTCAATAAATCTAAAAAGAAAAAAAGGGGAAGCTCAGGGCCCCCAACCTAGGTTAGATGGTCTGTCAGAGTCACAGTAGCTCTGGATTCCTTGTTTGTCACCAGGCAACACACATCAGCACTTCCTTGCTGCAGTGTCCCGGGCCACACCAAAGAGGAGTCCATTGCATTTTGCCCTTTAGAAAAAAAAAGCTAGAACAACTCTTATTTGGGCCAATTTTCTAATTCAGAAGCAGTAAGAAAATAAGTGAGGACTGTTCGGGGAAATTCACACACAGAGGATGAGATGGTTTCATTTTCGATCTAAAATCTTGAAGAAACCTGCTAGTTCATTTGGGCTAAGGAAGTGTTCTTGTTTGAACATGATTTCTATTTGCTTACCTTATAGCCAAAGAGAAAGAGTCCAAAGAAAAGGCTGTAGAGGTCAGCTGTCAGGATGCCCAGGTTGACCGACGTGGCGCTGGTAACTTTAATCACCAGCGGCATGAAGCTGTACAGGCAGAACATGCAGAGAGCAAATGCCACAAACAGCAGGGCTGGCAAAACACGGAGAAATCAGGAGACAAGGTGCTTAAGTTGAGGTCCGGCTGCCACGTAAAACTGCCTAATCCTTTAACATACTATCTACAAAGCTCCTAGTTATCATCAGCATTGCAAATGAGACATACAAAACTCTCGGGGGAAAAAAAAATAACAGCAAGACATGATATAGGTGAAGAAGGGCTTCAAAAATCCAACAAGTTGTGAATGGCCAAGTGGACGACCTTCACAAAAAATTGGGAAACTCGAGAGACAGATCTGATTGAAAGCTCACGTGACCGCGGTCAGCCTTTTCAGAATTCCTAGTATAGGCTATTAGGTTAAAAAGTAATGTCTATGGAGGTTTGTTTACAAGTTCTCAGAGAAAACTCAGTGCAAACCACTACAGCTCTCTGTGTAGTGAAGTACTCTGTGATTTTACAAAAATGCCTAAGTATTATTAAAATGAGGCATTTACTTCCTGATGTGTGTTTTTTGTCAAAGAGAGGATACTGACGGAAAAGAATGATCATTTAATGTACATACCGATTTTCCAGTCCCAATGAATGCTGGCGATGTCCTTATATTCCACAAGCAATCTAAGATCAAAACAAGAGGTCACAAAGATCCACATACTAATTCTCACTATTTTATAAACATTTAGTTGCTATACTTCTGACAAGATGAAGAATTATGTTGACTTTTGAATTTCCCTTAGACTGTAAAAGTAACTATCTTTTTAAAAATAAAGAGGACAAAGAATAACACCGTAGGAGCCCATAAACACACGCCGGCCTCCCGGAGAAGCGCTACTCAATAGCAGTCAGCTACAGGAGGAAAACGCACATTCAGTCTTCCCTCTGGACAGGGAGCTCGTGTTTTCCAGAAATAATCGAAAAAGAAAGTCTTTACTGGTAACGCCTCTACCACATGTATGAGAAAGCAAGGCACAGTTCTTGGCATTTCAAAAATCTAATATATACTTAGCAAGTAACTGATTTCAAAAGTGAACCTGGGCCCAATAAACCATGGATGTTAGCAGCTGGAGAGTAATCATCTGACATACTTGCTTATTTTGTTTTTCAGGAACACTTTAGACTTACAGCTGGATGCCACTGATAATTGTTCCAAACAAGCCCACCATTCCTAAAAACTCCTGTCTGCTCAGCTTCTTCACAACGTATTCTTCACACACGTTAGAGATGGCGTAGAGGGAAGCCCCGAGGAGGACCAGGGTGTCCCCGATCAGCACGTCACCGCCTGCAGGAAGACAAGCCACGGACAGGAGCACGTCAACAGGGAATCTCTTCAGCTCGCTTCTAAGAGTTTATCTGGCTTGCGTTCATTGAAATTAAGATCTTTGGAAGGAGAAACCCTGATTTCTAGAAGTTTAAAGACTCCTGATCTCACTTTGGCACAATTCTGCTGTGATTTTTCATATTTTGACTCCACAAGAGACAGACTAGAAGATGGTAGCATATGCCTTAATGTAAGGTCTCAGGAAATGATTCTATGACATGAAAAATTAATGGAATTTATTGAAGGGAATTAATTGAAAATCATAGGGACGGAAGCAAAGTAAGCAAGGTAATTTTTCTCGGAAAGGAGATACTGAAGTCACTTGTAGATTCAGCAAATTCAGAGACCTCATTGAGATTTTATACCATCAACTGCCTGAACTTTGATAAAGAGTATCAAAGTGTTTTCATCAATAGAGTGGACACAAAGACTCCATTTGTTTTTTTTTAAAGAACCTACAGTAGGTTTCCCAGTAACTTAATCCAAATGTATGGGCCAAAAAAAGATTGCAAATATACAAAGAAACTTTTCTCATGAAACAACACAAGTACGACACAAAGGAACAGGAACTGTGGGCAGGCGGGAACATAAAGAGTGCTTTGCGGAAGAGATTACAATGCCAGAAGAAGCAAGGAAATCTGAAAATAAAATTGAAAAGATATGCCCTTGCCCGCGTGGCTCAGTGGATTGAGTGCCGGCCTGTGAACAGGAAGGGCTGCCTGGGTCGCTGGCCTGCAGGAAGCAACTGGTCATGCATCTCTCACACATCAACATTTCTCTTCCCTTTCCTCCTCTCTCCCCCTCCCTTTAAAAGTAAATAAATAAAAATTTTAAAAATAAATAAATAAATTCAAAAAGACAGTTAGTTAACCAGGACATGTTTCCTGCCTTTTATGATGTATGTGAAAAATAAAAGCAAAAACCTAAGCAAAACTTTTCCCTGTGACTGAACCAGAAACAAGTAACATGTCTTACCTGAACTGTCTTCCCTCCCTGCTAGTATGTCTGCACCAACCATAGTTCCTACACCCAGCAGGCAGACAGCCACGGCAATGAAATGGATCACTCTGTATCTTGCATAAAGAACAAACCACGAAAGAGCCATCAGCACAGGAATCCCAAAGCAATCCAAAAGCTGCATGGAAGGAGAAATAAACAGCTTACAACATCTGTCATGAGCTAGCACATAGGTAATTACCAGGTTAGCATTTATTGAGCATTGATGATTGCCAGCCTTGTACTACATGCTTTGCCTGCATTAACTCATTTAATCCTCACACCAACACTATGGGATTTAAACTGCAAATCCCTTTCGGAAAAACAAAAGGCCAGAGAGGTTCAATGAGTTGCCCAAAGTCACCCAGTTAAGAGTCAGAGACAGTTGCTGAACCCAGGAATTCTGCCTAAAGGTCTATGCCATTTAGCTCTTACATGCCCACCTGGGTTGATCCTTAAATTCGATAGGGAAGCTTTCCTACCTGCAGGTCCCCATTCACTCAATCAATAAATATTTAAGCTTGGGAGGTCCTGAGAGGAGCTGGAATGTGGAGGAAAAAAAGAAACAAGCCCTGCCCTCAGGAGCGTTCAGAAGACTGGACAGACAGCCAGATTTTCATTACAATCGGGCTGGTTATCATGAGAAAGCAAGGAGGCCCCAGTCTCCCCGACCCCACCATGTCAGACAGACGTTTGGTCACAGCAAGTTCGGCGCTTGTCATCATATGTTCCTCCACTACCTGTTGATCTTGGGTCCAGAAAATAGGTGCTACACCCCTGATACTGCCAGTCTGAAAGGCAGGGAGTTAAAGGTGACAAAATTATAGCAAGTCCAAAATCATTTGTAAGATAAAGGAAAAATAGAGCTTTCATCCACTCAATTCTTCACAAATTTCGTAAAGTGCCTTCAAGGATAAAAGATAGTCCTTACACTACTGATGTTTCTCAATCTGCTGTTTTATTGCTCATCCTGTTGTTTTTAACATTGTCCCTGCTTCTCTCTGAATCTGTTTAATCTTGGACAAGGCAGGCCCCTGGCAACATCCAGCAGCCTGTCTGATCCTGTCCACAGCTGTTTATTAATTGTCTTGCACTACGATGCCATCACTGGAGTCTGCACCCCACCCGTGTGCAGGCATGGGCGCCTTGCCTGGCTATTTACTCGGGCTGCAGAAGTCTAATCTCTTAAATGCTTTATGGAGCCTCCCTGAAAAACAAAGCATTAAACAATACGAATGATAATAGCCTGTCCCGGAAGACACCAGCAGAATCTAGCCATAATGACTTAACAAAGTCTGCACTACATTCCTTACATAAAAGAAGTAGAAAAAGTAACTACAAAAACTCTCCCAGGAGACTCCCCGTCCTCAAATTGCATCTTAAAATCAAACTTAAATTTGCTGTTTTTAACAATTTTGATGGGCGATGAGGGACTCTATAAGGGAGCTGCCTGTGCTAGAGTAAGAGTTCTAGACCCCCGGGGCCCCCTGACCAGCTGTGTCAGTGACAGCCAGTCACCCTGGGCCAAAACATGAAGAGGTCAGACCAAACGACCTCACAAGGAAGTCCCTTCCAACTCCAAAACTCTAGGACTTCTCATCTCTTGACGCGGAAACTCCTTTTTGAAATGTACTCTCAGTGACTCTTTGATGCCTTCAGTTCCAGGAGTTCTCCTATTTAATTTAATCTTTAAAAATTATCTTGTAACCCTGGCTGGTGTGGCTCAGTGGATTGAGCACCAGCCTGCAAACCATAGGGTTGCTGGTTCAATTCCCAGTCAGGGCACATGCCTGGGTTGCAGGCCAGGTCCCCAGTAGGGGGCGTATGAGAGGCAACCACACATCAATGTTTCTCTCCCTCTCTTTCTCCCACCCTTCCCCTCTGTCTAAAAATAAATAAAATCTTTAAAAAAAATTATCTTGTAGTCACAGTAAGCAAGGTACCACGTAAGACCTGGGGGATGGGGAAGGCACAAGTATAAAAATGAGTTAGACTGTCTTAGCGATACAATGGAGTACAGAAGAAGGTGAAATTGAACTAGGCCTTAGAGAATGGAAGAGGGGACTTCAAAAAGGGTTACATTCTAGAAAGAAAAGAGCGGCAGGAGAGGGAAGCCTCTGTCTGTGGGTGGGACCGTTTCAATGTGGCAGTGAAGTGGGAGGAGACACAGGATGTCCTTGGCTGCATTGTGACCTTCATGTAAACTACGGCATTACTACTTGTAATTACAGAATCTTTGGCAGAATCCTTAAGAAGGAGGTTCAAAGACCATCAGATCCAAATTTCCACCCTTCGGATCACCCAGGCCAGAGATGTGCGCAGGCAGAGAGTCAGAATTCCAGTGACAGGCACTCTCCACTGCTGGAGGGGGCTTTAGTTGTTAGATGGCTTTTTAAAAATATTCACCTTGCTACAGCCATAAATGCAAAACTTTTGACAACCAAATACTTAGGTTTTTCTAAGAGACCAAAATGAAATACATGAACTTCAGTCACAAAAAACCCAAGTGCAAGTATGTTTAGATCTTGCACGAATTCAAAACTTCTAATCATTTATAGTCAGAGATCAAAGTTTCTGGAAATTATAATCAGCTCATTGAATTCTGTGTGAAATGATTAGGGTAGATGTGACTATAAAATGCTATTTTCTACATACTTATACCCTCACTGCCCTTTGTTTAAAGTACAGTTAATATCATTTGTGATGAACTTCATCCTTTAGGTAACTCCTTGTTTCAATTTTTATGAAAGTCTGGGTTTTCTCATGTACCTCCTATAATGTCTGTCTTAAATATTTCCTACCTGGGCTTTCAAACCCACACCAGTCGAAAGCTAAGAGGTTTGCTGTGTACAGTGCTTAGCACAATGTTACGGAAAATAAATCATTTAGTAAAATGTATTATTTAAAAGTATTAAATAGCATTTAATGTATAATCACATTGAAAAAAATCCCTATCTTTTCCAAGTCTAATCTCACTTTAATTTTTCCACATTCTTAAAATCTGGAGAGCAAATGTGAACATCTCTGTTTTACACAGTGAGAAAAGCAGTGTATAAAAAAATTATAAATTCAGCCCTGGACAGGTAGCTCAGTTGGTTACAGCATCACCCCAATAGGCCAAGGTTGCATGTTTGATCCATGGTCAGGGCACATACAAGAACCAACCAATGAATGCATAAATAAGTGGAACAAAAAATCCATGTTTATCTATCTACCTCTCCCTTCTATGCTCTCACTAAAATTAATGAATTTTAAACATTTTAAGTTACAAATTCATTAAATGGTGAAGTCTAAACCCGGCAATGGAGTCTATCTCACTTGTAACTGTATTTATAAGACATTGTGTTGCTGGTAATGGTTAGTCAGTGCCACAATACATCCCATAGTTTCCAAACATTAGGACAACCAAATCGGTCTTCCTCAACTCCACCAAGTTGAAAAGCACTGCTATACAGGAATACTTTTCTTTCAATGCAGTGAGAATAAACTAATAAATAAGCATGTAAGTTTTGCCTTTGGCTACCATCTCTTCCCAAGATGCCTGGTAGGTTTCTTCCCATCGCTCCTTCGTCTTGAATGTGTACTTTGCTCGCAGACCCCCAATTTTTTCTGCAGGACCAAGATACACCCATTCTATACACCATGTGTGAGCAACACATAAACAGAACTCTCAATATCCACTGCCAACGAAATGTTTACGCTTATTTTGGTACAAACTGTTCTAATCTGCTATAGTGTTTTCAGTTTGGGAACTCATTAACTTGTAATTTTTGCTAGTTCCAGGAAACCATACTCATTAGCACATATGTGTTACTGGAAAACAGTATCCACCTGTGCGTAGGTTTTCCAAGTGAACAGGTTTTCAATAAAATTAGGGCAACACATGTGGGTTCAGATTCTTCTCTTAAAGCTCTAAAAACCACATTGGTTGGAAGACTCCCTCTCACCTGGACACTGGTCAGGGTCGTGTACTGGTATGCTCTGACGATCAAGTAATTAGCTTCCACATCTGCTAGTCCCAGCAGGATGTACTTCCACCATTTTCTCTTCAAGATGTATAAAAGGTTATCATTGCCTGGTTGAAAGAAATCTGGATTAGCACATGTTACTTGGAAATGAGACCGTGCATGCTGACTCAGTGTTTGCTGTGTATTTTGGGTGTGCTCCCCCCCCCCAATTTCCATTATTCATAAACCCAATTCCTACAACAGTTCTGCAGAGCCAGTCAGATTTTTCCAGTACGAGGCCCCAGCTAAGGTGTCATCACAGACCACGTGTTCAGTGAAGGCATCAGAGAGAAAATAAGGAGAAAAGTGGTTAAATTCCCTTTCCATTGTGATAGAAACACAATATCCAGATATGAGTCTGGATGTTGCCATTCTTGACAAGCTACAGATTATCCTGGGAAATGAAATGTTTTCTGATGAAGTCATTGGCTATTTAACCTCCATTCCTGGGCTTCTTCACAGAAAACTCTGCATGTGGTCATTCTTTTGGAAGAGATATGTTCTCATGAGAAAACTGTCCGTGATAAGTTTGGAAGAAAGACTTAGTGGCACCAGTGAAGAAAACACCTGATATTCACCAAATTCTATTTATTCAAGTTAACTGTGATTCATTTCTCTGGAGAATCTAGCATCACTGGAAATAGAGAGTTGGCACATAGATGAGAAGGCTTATTATAAGATAACCTACAAGGAAATAAAGGTAATGAGAATCATAACCAGATAATTGTCATTAAAACCCAATTAACAGGAAAGTCCTGAAAATACACAGTTAGTCTTCCTCAACATGAGATGGTATGAAAGGCGCCTTTAGTCGAGTCACGCTGACTGACTAAAGCCGATATTCACAGGGAAGAGCGGAGTCCAGGGCAATCGATCATGTACCAATTCTGTTTCCAGTTCCTAAAGCTCTTGCCAAATTTGGTACATTCACCTTTGGAGGGTTTCCCCACTCCTAGAACTGATTTCTATTTTCTTTCAAAAATATTTTTTTATCATGACACAAAGAAATATTGTCAATGCTTTAGGGTTCATATTAAAACAGGATTAGCAAATCCTACATTGAGGCTTTTATTTTGTGCCTTAGATATGATAAAAATGGAAGGATTGTGCCCTCCCAATTGATATGGGTTACCCATTATCTTCACATTCCTAAGTCTGATCTAATTCAGCTCCTTTTGTGGGAACAATTGTTATCAACAGGACCAGCAGCTCCTAATGGAGTGGTGGTAAGAGTGTGGGCTCTGGGGCTGGCTGCCCAGGTTGGAATCCTGGTCCACCAGTTATTACCTGTATGACTTCGAGCAAGTTATCTGAGTATTGCATGTCTCAGTTTGTTCATCTGTAAAGTGGGGATAATAACACTCGACTTGTTGAGAGGCTTCAATGAGTTAATACCAAATCTAAAAAAGTTAAGCAATTAAAATGATGCCTGGCACAAAAATGTTTCTCAGAACCTAGTTTTTTCCCATTTTTGTGTAGCTAGTGAGAAATCATAACTATGCTAATTCTAATAAAACTTAACCAGCCAGTGAGAAAGATGCTAACTCCCTGTCCATTCCTTGTCTTTGTTTCTCTCGTAACATAGACTTGATCTACGTGCAATTGATGCTCCATTTAGCAGTTTCTCCACTTTGCTGGAAATACAGATTGTGGAAAGTGAGGTTTTTAACTTTAAGTGCTTTAAATACTGTCTCTGAATCTTATCAACAACAGGAAACAAAATAGAACCTAACTTGTAAGAGCACTTAAAGCTTTTTGACAATTTCTATTGCAGTTTAGTGCTACTTCCTTTAACCAACAATTTCGGAGAGTATGCATAAATCTCTAGTCACCACTCTCACAGAGAAGGTATCCCATGTTTCTAATGACTTTGATAAAAACAGCAGTAGTTTTTCCTACTCTTAGTGTTACCTAATGTTTTATTTTTGAATGCCTAAAAGCCACTTTTTTAATGAAGATAATTTGTTAAAAAGGTTAATTCCCACACTTGGCATACCTGATTGAAATGCCAGCATCACGGTATAAGTTAATAACAGCAAGCAATAGTTGATGAAGCTCTGAAGCATGGGGGCGTTCACTTTATATTTCTCTGCCAAATACTGGCTCGTAATGGCTGTTCCACATATACACAAGGACAACATCTGACCCAGGGCAATTGTTTTCAAAATATTCCTAGAAAATAAAGAAGGAAATTTGAGTAACTTGCAAGTAAGTTATGTACCTTGGACACAAACACATAACATGCACAACACACACAGGACACAACGCACACTTTAGTGATCAGCAAAAAAAGAAAATGTTAATTATTTTGGGTGGTTAATTATTTCATTTTATTGCTTACTTTATATGCACAAAAATTAAACTGTTGGTTTTTTTTTAAAGAGTTTATTTATGTTTAGAAAGAGGGGAAGTGACAGAAAAAGAAACAGAGAGAAACATTAATATGTGGTTGTCTCTCGTGCACCCCCTACTGGGGACCTAGCCCACAACCCAGGCATGTGCCCTGACTGGGAATCAAACCAGCGACCCTTTGGTTCACAGACCAGTGCTCAGTCCACTGAGCCACAACAGCCAGGGCTAAACTGTTTGGTTTTGAGAGACTACATTTTTATTCTTTTATATTTCTACTTTCCCCATCATTACCAAAAAATATATATTCTCCCATTTTATTAACCATCCATTTAGAAATCATTTTGATTACTTAGCTATGTCATACACTATTTGAAGTGAGTGTGTGTGTGTGTGTTTTATGTCCATGATTTTTAAAAACTCAGCTTTAACTCATTTTAAAGTCTTCCTACTCATTAAAGGTTTAACATATTCTCATCCTTTCATCCTCCCAGTCCTGATTTCTTCAACTAGAGGTAATGGTTTTCAATGTTACTGCATGTTAGAATCACAGCGCTTTATGCCAGTATCAGGCGGTGCCTGATGACCTGAGACCAATTATGTCCTCACATTCTGGGGTGGATCCCGGGCGGGCATCAGTGATGGTCAAAGCTCCTCAGGTGATTCCAACATGCAGCTGAGACAGTGCATCGCTGTTCTAGAGGCTGGCACCTTGAATTTATAAAAGAATAAAACCCAGAGTTCTGGCCAAGATGGAGGCATAGGTAGAAACCCTTTGCTTCCTCTCACAACCAAAAGGAGGGTAACAAGCAATCTAAAATCAGTATACAACTAGAAGCACCAGAAAATCAAACTGCATGGAACTCCAACAACCAAGGAATTAAAGAAAAAAATCAACCAGACCCATAAGGCAGACCCCCGAGTTCCTCAAAGCTGAGATGGAGGAACTGACTTAAGGGGGAAACTGAGACTCAGAGCTGACTGTGGACTATAGCTGGGGTTGCCTGGGAGGGAGATACTTCCAGTCTGACTCAAGAGTCTGTTGGAAAGTGCACTAGAGAAGAGTAAGCAAGCTACATCACTCCCTCTCTGGCCCCTCCCCACAGACAGCACAGAAAAGAGGGTTGCCCTGCCTGGCTGAATACCTAAGGCCCACCCCTTACAACTTATCAGGTGAGCCAAGACAAAGAAATATGGCCCAAATGAAAGAACACAGCAGACCTAAGTGATGAGGACATTGCCAACCTATCTGATAGAGAATTTTAAGCCCTGGTAATCAAAATGCTCACAGAACTGATTGAGCTTTGCTGAAAAATAAAAGAACAAATGAAAGACACCCAAAATAAAATACAGCAAAATATTCAGGGAACCAACAGTGACAAGAAGGAAACCAGGATTCAAAGCAACAATTTGGAACAAAAGGAAGAACTAAACATTCCAACTGGATCAGAACGAAGAAATAAGAATCCAAAAAAATGAAGAGAGGGAGAGGACTCTCTGGGACAACCTGAAACATTCCAATATTGCAAATTATAGGGTTGCTAGAGGAGAAGAACAACAGCAAGAAATTGAAAACTTATTTGAACAAATAATGAAGGAAAACTTCCCCAATCTAGCAAAGGAAATAGACTTCCAGAAAGTCCAGGAAGCCCACAGAGTCCCAATGAAGTTGCGCACAAAGAGGAACACACCAAGGCACATCATCATTAAGTTACCCAAGATTAAACACAAAGAGAAAATCCTAAGAGTGGCAACAGATAGGAGACAGTTACCTACAAAGGAGTTCCCATAAGGCTATCAGCTGATTTCTCAAAAAAAAAAAAAACCTCTCAGGCAAGAAGGGGCTCAAAAGAAGTATTCCAAGTCATGAAAGGCAAGGACCTCCATCCAAGATTACTCTATCCAGCAAAGATTTCATTTAGAATGGAAGGGCGGATAAAGTGCTTCCCAGGCAAGGTCAAGTTCAAGAAGTTCGTCATCACCAAGCCATTATTACACGGAATGTTAAAGGGACTTATCTAAGAAAAAAGAAGATAAAAAATACGAACAATAAAATGACAACAAACTCATAACTATCAACAAATGAACCTAAAAGAAAAGAAAAACAATGAAAACAAAAACTAAGCAAATAGAACAGGAACAGAATCAGGGAAATGGACATCACACAGAGGGAGTTCAGTGGGGAAGGGGAAGGAGAAGGGAAGGAGAGGAAAGGTACAGGGAAGAAGAAGCATAATTAGTAGGCATAACATATATGGGGAAAGATAAAATAGCATGGGAAACAGAGGACTCGAAGAACTTATATGTACAACTCATGGACATGAACTAACGGTTGGGGGGCAGGGTGAAGGGGGGATAAAGGGGGAAATATTGGGAAAATTGTAATGGCATAATCAAGAAAAATACTTTTAAAAAAGGAGGGAAAAAGAAAAAAACCCAGACACCCTCCTTTAGCATTTTAAGAGAGAGAGAGAGGCACCTTAAGAAGCAACTACAAAACAGCAGTCTTGCAACAGTCATGCAACCAAAGGGCCGGAAGAGCACACAGGTGCTGCCGATGAATTCCGCGTGAGGGACTAGCTTGGCAGAGCAAACTGGGAAAGGTTTCTTGGAAGCAGTGACATTCCAGGCAGGTTTCAAGTATATAAAGGATTTCTAGAGGAAGAAGTAGGGAGAAGGGAATTCAGAAAGCAGTAAGTAGGACCGAATGCAGAGGCATAAACATGCAGGGGTGGGCTCAGGAAACACCAGGGGGGTCAGTGTGCCTGGGGCACAAGGGCCACAGCAGAGAGTGGTCGTAGGCGGGACGTGTGGAAAAGTAAGTTGAGGCCAGCTGGTCAAAAGGTTTGAATGGCACACCGAGAATTTGGGCCTTTGTGCCATAGACAGGTGGGGGCCATGGAGGTTTCTGAACAGAGGGATTTATTAAAGTAACTCTGGTGTTTAGGAAAAGAAGGAACAGTGAGACGGGAAATTAGGCAGAGAAGCCAGTAAGAAAGAAAGCTGGCATAATGACCCAGGCCAAAGTGAGGTCTGAACAAAAGCCACATCAGCATAAATGAAAAGTGCAGAATGATTGGAAGACTACAGAGCCCAGTGTGCTATGCAATCTCTGGAGAAGGTGTTGAAAGTGGTATCTGGGTTTCTAGACCAGAGGACTGACCAGGACAGGGCACGCAGGATGAGAGCAGCTTTGGGGCAAGGGGAGAGTGGTGAGCACAATCTGAGGGCAGAAGACATTGAGGTGGCTGAAACGCTGAGAGGAAGAACAACAAGAGGCGTGGGACAGGCAGGCTGAGATGGCTCCCAGGGACTCTCTGCTTGCCGGTATTACTGCCCCTTGTAATCTCCTCCTCCCAAGTGTGGGTAGGATCTGTGACTTGCTTCTAACCATTAGAATACAATAAAAGTAAAGGAATGTCATTTCCACAAATACACTGCATACGGTTATAACTTCCATCTTGCTAGGCAACTCTCTCTATTTATTCTCTACCTTGCTGGCTCTGATGAGACAAGCTGCCACAAAGAGAGGCCCACATGGCAAGGAACTGAGGGCGGCAACCACCGGCAAGGAGCTGAGGCCCTCAGTGCCACCATCCACCGGGAAATGCGCCCTGCCAAACTGAGATGTGCTCAGAAGCAGACCCCTCCCCCGTCCAGGCTTCAAGTGAGACCCTGCCCTGGATGACACCCTGGCTGCAGCCTGTCTGAGACCCCAAAGCAGCGGGCAGAGCTAAGCCATGCCCAGATGCCTGATCCATAAAACCCGTGAAATAATAAATGTGTGTTAAGTTTGTGGTAATTTGTTACAGAGCAGATAGGTAAGAAATACAAGGTTGAAAGTCTGGACTTCAGAAAGTTAGACTGTATCTGTTTTGTTCTCCACTACATATCTGATGCCTGGTATTTTGCTGTCGCTCAGTAAATATTTGTTGAATGAATATAAATGGATGAAGTAATTACCATATATACCCAAATATATGGTAACCCCAAATATAATATTCTTCCCCACTTTTCCAATGAAGTGCCACAGTCAAAGACAGATTATGAGAGTGCCTTGACACTGAAGCTAAGAGTGGAAAACGTTTCAAGAAGGAAGAAATCAATACCGTAGTGTCCAAAACTACAGAGAGAAGAGGTGACATTATAGCTGAGGAGACACAGCTGGCCTGGCAAGCTGGAAGTTGCTAGAGATCTTTAAAGGAAAGCTTTTTGTTAGTGGTAAAGCCTAAAGTCAGATTTTAGTTGGCAGTTAGCTGGGTGAGTAAAAGATGAGCACCAAACATAAATAGCTCTTTTTTGCATGATGAAAAGAACAGGAATGTGGCAACAGTGTGGAGAATAATGCTATCCTGTTAAGGTATCAAGGAAACTTACAGCTGTTTGGGAGATGAGCAGACACAGGTTTACTCTTACTAGTAAAACCTTGAAAATTGACAAAACAATTTAAGAGATGATGAAGACTGACAGACAGTTCCTTGGAAGGTTTAGGGACAGGAATTGAGAATGTTGCAATTTCTATTTACAATGTTCTCTCTATAAATATGTCCTTCCAGGGCTCTTCTACACAAAGTAAAAAACACCAAAATAACTGAAGACAGAGAACATCTACTCGAAAAGCTTACAAAGCTACCCTGGAGTAGCTGTTTCAGTAACAAGCAACCAACCTCAAACCATCCTTGCACAAGGGCAGAAAAAGAAAGGGGGAAGCTTGCTGGGTGAGACAACCCTTGAAACACTCGCAGGACATCTACTTCGTGGGAGGCTCCGCAGATCCAAACGGAGCAGGCTCTCTCTGTGCCTTGGAGGTTCAGCTATGACTG